TCAATTGCAATTTACACTCCATATTATTTTGTATCAGTTTCAGGTGTACAGCGGGGCGGTTAGGTGGCAGGTTTAATAAGCAAGGAGAAAGCTTACAAGGCTTGTCCGGGGCAGACACAGGACAAGTCGACCTCTGCATCCACCCACCAGCATCCTAGGTCTGTCTGGAGCTTTAACGAGCTTCAGCCACCCGATGGTCTCCACCACACATTGCTTTCTCAAAGCTCCATCACACAGTCCCTCGGCGCCTCAGATCTCGGCCCCGCCCCTCCCCATGGGAAGTCTCGCGAGAATCCCGCTCCGGACAGACGTGGAGACTTTTGGCCTTTCCCGGATGCCGTAGCTCAGAGTCGCAGTTCTTAGCTAAGTGCTTCCGGGTTGCATCCCGGGAACGCTTCAGTGGTGCCAGTGGAACCAAACCCCGGTGGTATCAGTAAGTAGGAGACCGAACCGAGCCTGAGCGCCTGCCGTTAGCCCCCTCCTTTGATTCCTTGAAGACCCTGGTACAGCTCAGCAGGAGGGCCCAGAATTCCCGGGTGTCCCCACCGCTATGACTCAGGGGCTCATGTCTAGTCTCCTCTCCCAGGATTTTGGTTCAGTTCAGCGAGCTCACCTCCCGGTCTGAGAGATGAGGAGACCGAGGCTTAGAACACACACAGCCCCGAGGCGCGGTTTGCAGGCCCCGTCCCCTCCCCCGGGCTCCTCTCGGGTGGCACAGACCCTCTCTGTCCCCAGTCTTGGGTCCAAGGTCCCGTACAGACACCGGCCTCAGGCACATTCCCCTCAGTCACCCTCTACTGGTCTCCCTGACTGTCTGCAGGCCTGGGCAGCATGACTTTATTCCGGTCGGGCCTCCTGGTGCTGACGACGCCGCTGGCCGCCCTGGCCCCTCGCCTGGCCCCTATCCTGACCTCTGCGGCCCAGTTCGTGAACGACACGCTCTATGTACACCTGCAGCCGGGCATGAGCCTGGAGGGCCCAGCTCAGCCCCTGTCCACCCCCGTGCAGGCCACATTTGAGGTTCTGGATTTCATCTCGTACTTCTATGCCGGCGCCAACGTGCACCCGCACCTGGACATCAGAATTCTGCTAACCAATATCCAAAGCAAGAGCGCCTTTCTCCCTTCCCTGGCCAGCTCCGTTCAGAACCTGGCCCACCCGCCGGAGGTGGTGCTGACCGACTTCCAGACCCTGGATGGAAGCCAGTACAATCCGGTTAAGCAACAGCTAGAGCGGTATGCCACCAGCTGTTACAGTTGTTGTCCAACACTTACTTCGGTGCTGCTGTACCCCGATTATGAGTCTGCAGAACTGCCTGTGGGGTTCACCTTACCCTCCACCATCAGGCCATCCTCCCCTGTGGCCAGATCTCCAAAGCAGCCGGTGCGTGGCTACCACCGCGGGGCTGTGGGTGGCACGTTTGACCGCCTGCACAATGCCCACAAGGTGCTGCTCAGTGTCTCCTGCATCGTGGCCCAGGAGCAGCTTGTGGTGGGAGTAGCAGACAAAGACCTTTTGAAGGGTGAGTGGGGAAAATACTGGAATAGGGTGGTGGAGGACCCCCAAAATGCAAAAACAAAACAAACAATATATATATATATATTTGTTTGTTTGATTTCAGAGAGGAAGGAAGAGGGAGAGAGAGAGAGAGAAACACCCATGATGAGAGAGATTCATGGATTGGCTGCCTCCTGCAAGTCCTGCACTGGGGATCGAGCCCACAATCTGGGCATGTGCCCTTGACCAGAGTTGAACCTGGGGCCTTTCATTTTGCAAGCCGATGCTCTATCCACTGAGCCAAACCGGCCAGGGCCCCAAAAGTCCTTGTAATGTGCCAGTGCCAAGGTTGAGAGAGGGTAGGGCCATCCGTTACTTTCTACCCCTCCCAAATGTTACACACAGTGCCGGGCACTCAGTTAGTGCTAAGGAAACTTTGTTAAACGAATAAAAGCAGCCTTCTCAATGTGTAGTCTGATCACCACTCATTCAGAGTCCCCCAAAACATGGAACCAAGGAGTCTGCATTTTTAACAAATCCTTGAATGCCTTTGTCTGGTTCTGATGCCCACTGGCACTGCTAGTTCTCTGGACACATGCCAGCCCCAGCACTGACTGTTGTGCTTGCCTCTCATAGTTTTCCCATCACAGACCACGTCCGAGTTTAGCCCTTCTTCCTGCCACCCACCTCTGGAGACACGATGCTTAGGGACACTTTTCCCCAAACTGGCCCATACTCTTCCTCCCCAATAGAAAGATCTCACTGTTCTGGGCTCCTTCCTCAGGCAAGTTACTCCCCGAGCTGCTCCAATCCTACGCTGAGCGTGTGGAACATCTGAGTGAGTTCCTGGTGGACATCAAGCCCTCCTTGGCTTTTGATATCGTCCCCCTGCTGGACCCCTATGGGCCTGCTGGCTCTGACCCCTCCCTGGAGTTCCTGGTGGTCAGCGAGGAGACCTATCGTGGGGGGATGGCTGTCAACCGCTTCCGCCATGAGAAGGTAACCTGTGAGGGAGATTGGCAGAGGGAGGGGTTCAGGGAGGGGAGGGTGCTATGGAAAGTACCATCACCCCAGAGGAGGGAAGAGAGGGCCCAAGGTGGTAAAAAGAGGCAAGGAGGAACTGGTTCCCAGGTTGTCTTCTGGGACAAGCTCTACCTCTGGAGTAAGTAGGGGAGGGTAAGGGGGCAAGTTGGTGTCAGTGTTTGCCCCTCTTTTCCTCTCCTCACCCCTCCTCCTTTACTTCAGGACCTGAAGGAGCTTACCTTGTACCAGATCCAGCTATTGCATGACCCAGGCCACAGGGAGAATGAAGAGGACAAAATCAGCTCCTCCAGCTCCCGCCAGCGAATGCTGGGAAACCTGCTTCGGCCTCCACATGTAAGCATGTCTTTCCTTCCTCCCACCTTCTTGGATAGGCTGGAAATGCTAGAAGGTGGAGACGGAAGGATTCAACCCAAACATGAGCCTGAGGACCCTTGTAACTGGGGTTCCTTTTATCTACCCCCAGGTGAGGTCAGGGCTCCCTGCTGGTCTCTACGTGATCGGGCTGACAGGCATAAGTGGCTCTGGGAAGAGCGCAGTAGCTCAGCGGCTAAAGGGCCTGGGAGCGTATGTCATCGATTGTGACCAACTGGGCCATCGGGCCTACACGCCGGCTGGTCCTGCCTACCAGCCCGTGGTGCAAGCCTTTGGAACAGGTAGTGACTGCCGAGGGCTGGGGGAGGCCTGAAGTGAGGAGGTGGCCTGGTCTCTTTGCCCAATCCTCTGTCTCTGTCATCTAGATATTCTCCACAAAGATGGCTTTATCAACAGGAAGGTCCTGAGCAGCCGGGTTTTTGGAAACAAGGTAAATACACGCCTCTCCAAAGGTCCTCAGCTGCAGTAGACCCAGGGGTTGGGACCCAATGTACTTCTCTGGACTGGTCCATCTTCAAGGAGAGTAACCACTGCCCACTCCCTCTACCCTGCTTCTCAGAAGCACCTGAAGAAGCTCACGGACATTATGTGGCCGGTTATCGCAAAGCTGGCCCGAGAGGAGATGGATAGGGCTGTGGCTGCGGGTGAGTCAGAGGGATGCTGGGAGCGGCTGAGGGGCACAGTGAAGCAGATCCTTTCCCCGGGAGTTTCCTACTCCAAGCTAGACCGCCCACATTCTCGGGGGACCATGTTTTGTTGACTGTCTGACTGTAGCAAGTGACAGGGTACTGCTGGTCGTGACTGGAGTCTCCCTACAGGAAAGCGGGTGTGCGTGATTGAAGCTGCCGTGCTTCTTGAAGCCGGCTGGCAGAGCATGGTGCATGAGGTGTGGACCATTGTCATCCCTGAGACTGAGGTATCTGGAGCCCACCTGCCACCCCATCTCCACTGCAGACTACTTGGAGCCAGTTGGCTGACAAATGTCATGTCTGTACCTAGGCTGTACGACGAATTATGGAGAGGGATGGCCTGAGTGAGGCTGCAGCTCAAAGCCGGCTTCAGAGCCAGATGAGTGGACAGCAGCTTGTGGACCAGAGCCACGTGGTGCTAAGCACCTTATGGGAGCCGCATGTCACCCAGCTCCAGGTTGATGCCCAGGGAAAAGCTGGGTTGTTGGGAGGGACTCTACAGTGAATGCCCACCTGACTGTCTTTTCCTCACAACATTCTGGTTGCCCAAAGGTGGAGAAAGCCTGGGCCCTCCTGCAGAAGCGCATAGATGCCATCCAGCCATTCTGATAATGAGTTTTCTGTGGGGCCAGATTGGCCTCTGGAGCTGACAGGAGATCATCCAGTGGTGAGGAGGGATGGTGGCTTCCATGCTCACCCTAGCTTTGGCCTAGAGGGCTCTGAGCTAAGCTGGGTGGGGCAGGGCCTGGTGGACAAAGGAAGCCTATCCAACTTGCAGGTGTTTGACCAACACTGAGGATGTGGCCCATGGGGCAACAGGCCCCTCTGGCATTCCAGCCCCATTCTTGCCTACAGGTGTCTGACACCTAAGGCTAGTAGGGGAGAAAGGGGGGGAAGGGCAAACAATGAAACTTGTAACAGAATTAAAGGTTGATGTTTCCAGGTGCTGTCTGTATGGTGTCTGCTTCCTGCTCCAATGCCTCTAGGTAACTTTGGGATCCTTGAGCCACAGGGGCAGGACTCAGGCCTGAGCTGGAAGCCAGGAGTACAGTGGCTAAGAGCATGGCCTTTGGAGCTAACCAGACTGAAGCCAGCCTTGGCCCTGTCACTGAGTAGCTGTGTGCATTTGGACAAGTTACAAACTTTCTAGGTTCCTCAGTTTCCTTATCTGTGAAGTAACATAACTTGGCCAATAGGCTCTTTGGAAGTATTGATTCCACAAGTACCCAGCTGGATCCTAGGGTTGATGTTGGAGGAGCATTCTTCAACACGCCAGGCGGGCCTCTGCCATCACAAAGCCCACAGCCTGGTGGAGTTGGACGAGGTGGCTGGACTAACTGGTGGGCCAGGGACTCCTGGGCCTGGCAGTATGCCTGTGTGTGCACAGCTGTCTGCAGACATTACTGGAACAGCCTTTGGAAGGGACCCCATTTCACAGAATGTGCTCCCAGCCGCCTGCCCCAAGGGAGGGAGACCAACAGGGTGACCTCCCCAAAGCAACCTGTATCAGCCCAACAGCCAGCTCAGCCCACTCCGCGGGCTGGCGTTCCCTGGCTGCGCACGCACGGCACCCTCGCCCCGCCCCTTTCTCCTTGGCCGCGGATTGGCTGGTTTGGGTCACGTGGGCATGCTCGCTTTTCCGGGCGACTGGCCTCCCGCAGGCTGGTTTCCGGTGCGGTGGGTCGGAGATGACGGAACCCGGCGCTTCTCTGGAGGACCCCTGGGTCAAGGCAAGCCCCGCGGGCGAGCACGCCGTGGAGGGGAGGGCGGGGCGGGCGCGTGCACGAAGGGAGTCCAGAAGATGAGGGCATCACTCCGGTGCCCAGAGTAGCCCTGCTTCCGCCCTCCGGGCCGGGGTCCAGAGAAGACAGCCCACCCCCACGCGTGCTAAGGCGGGAGGTGACAGGCGTGTGTGCGGAGTGTGCGGGGACGGGTTTGAGGCTGTGGGGTTGGGAGGAGGTGTTGGGCAGGCGGGGTCACGCCGAGGGGCGGGGACCCCACGACTTAGCCAGTCTTGGCTCTCGGGGAAATCCTTCCGTTTCTTGCGCGCCCGTTTGTGTCCGTCCGTCCTTCCTTCAATTGCCTGCTCACGTGTGTGTCGGTCCTTCAATTGCCTGCTCACGTGTGTGTCGGTCCTTCAATTGCCTGCTCACGTGTGTGTCGGTCCTTCAATTGCCTGCTCACGTGTGTGTCGGTCCTTCAATTGCCTGCTCACGTGTGTGTCGGTCCTTCAATTGCCTGCTCACGTGTGTGTCGGTCCTTCAATTGCCTGCTCACGTGCGTGCGGGTCCTTCCGTTGCCCGCGCACCTGCCTGAGTGCCTACGATTGGATGCGCAGAGTGAATGGAAGAGGCTTCCTCCGGGGACGGAGGTCTGATGAGCTTTCCTCCCTTGCTGGGTGCCGCAGGTGGAGTATGCCTACAGCGACAACAGCCTGGACCCCGGTGAGTGCCTCCCCACCGGCTTCAGCTCCGGAGTGACACTCCCACTTCAGCCCTGTAGATTCGCTTGGCCTTGGCAGCCACCGCTGACCACAGTCCGCTGTCTCTGAGCCTGAAACAGTGAGGGAGGAGCGGGAGGACAAGGGCAGGAGGCATGGGAGGGCGATCCTAGTTCCCTCTGCTCTGGAACAGGGAAGTGATAGGAATAGTGACTGCTGGTCTCTCCCCCTCATCGGGCCCAGGTGTTACTTTGTGAGCCAGCGGTACCATTGCAGCCAGTGGAGCAGTTCAGACCCCGGGGACAGGAGCATCACAGCGTGGCTGGCCCAGAATGGCTAGCTTTTGGTTTAAGGGGAGAGGTCAGCATTTAAGGATCAGGGAGCCATTGTGCCCACAGGTGTCTGAGGGCCTAGCAGTGTTCCCCTCACCCCCCACCTTACCCCTTAGTGATTGGGGCCTTTCTTTTCCAGGGCTTCTTATAGAAAGCTCCCGCAAGGGGAGCGTAGTGTCCAGAGCTAATAGCATCGGTTCTACCAGTGCCTCTTCCGTCCCCAACACAGGTAGGCAGCCACATCCCCCACGTTGCAGGGCTCAGATACGCCACCATTTTAGTATCTCTCTCAGGACGCTCCAGCCATCCATGTGGGGTGCTAGAGCCCTAGTGCTAGGCACAGGGTCTCCCCATCTTTTATCTCATCCAGAATATTAAGTTCCCGTGTCCATCTGCTACCTGGGCACTACGTTCTTTTTCCCAGTTAAGCAAAGATGGATTCGCTGGGTCTCACTGGGCCTCAATGACCTCTCTCTGCCCCCAATTCTGAGTGCAGATGACGAGGACAGTGATTACCACCAGGAGTCCTACAAGGAGTCCTACAAGGACCGGCGCCGGCGAGCACACACACAAGCTGAGCAGAAGAGGAGGGATGCTATCAAGGTGATTGGGGAGGCCTCGGCCAGCACAGGGAGGTCCTGCATTTCAGATTCATTGTGCCCTGACCCCATTAGACAGGCCCAAGCGACCTGCAGGCAGCTAATCTAGTTCCTGTACGGGAACACTCCCTCCTTCCAGCCCCTTACCCCTTTCAGGTTGTGAGTACGGGACTTAGTGCCCTGGAAGGAAAATGTTGTGCCAGTGTGTCTTAGCCCCTCGGAGTTAAGGAATCCGTTTTCCCTTGCGCTCTCCACAGAGAGGTTATGACGACCTCCAGACCATCGTCCCCACCTGCCAGCAGCAGGACTTCTCCGTTGGCTCCCAGAAGCTCAGCAAAGCCATGGTCCTGCAGAAGAGTAAGGCAGGGAGGGCCCTGGAGGGCTGGAGCAAAGGGGCTCTGGGCAGGCTCACCTCATACCCACTGTGGCCTGGCCCTCTGGGTGGTTGTAACGGGCGACTTGGGGAATGGGGAAAAGGGAAACAAGATCAGCCTTGTCCTCTGGCTGAGATTTCCTCTGTGCCCACCACCTCTTTCCACCTCCACCCCCAGCTATTGACTACATCCAGTTTTTGCACAAGGAGAAGAAAAAGCAGGAGGAGGAGGTGTCCACACTACGCAAGGATGTCATGGCCCTAAAGATCATGAAAGTGTAAGGGTGCCCAACTGTGGGAACCAGGGCTTCTGAGGGGACTGGGGCCAACTTCAGTTCACACTCTTATCTTTGTTCAAAGGCCGCATCAGATAATATTCTCACTCCCTCCGGTGGCCACTTAGAGGTGCCAGATTATTATGATCTCTGAACGCATCGTAATCTGGCCACTCAATGTGTGTGTGTGTGAATTCGTGCATGGGTGGAGTCCAGCCAGCGAGAAGGGACATGGGCGGTTGGCCGGCCTGCCTGCTGGTCAAACTCCTGGTCAAGGGGACAATTTGTATATTGGCCTTTTATTATATAGGACAGTGATCTGCAAACAGCGACTTGCGAACCACATGAGGCTCTTTGGCCCCTTGAGTTTTTAGCAAAGGCCAGCTTAGGAGTATCCTAATTTATAATGATGTACCTACCTATATAGTTTAAGTTTTAAAAATTGGGCTCTCAAAAGAAATTTCAATCCGTTGTACTGTTAATATTTGGCTCTGTTGACTAATGAGTTTGCCTGATATAAAATAGACACTGAGAGGTAGATTAATTCAGAGATCATAATAATATGGCTACTCAGTGCAGGTCTGTTTTTAACATAAAAGCAGTATCTAGCCTATGAATACATCCCCAAAGCTCTCTAGGAATCTTCTTAGATGGGGGAGGTATTGGGGTCACCCTATTACTCCTGGCCTGGTGGAGCTGCTGTAGCACCTTAGCCCTGGCTGTTTGCTTTTAGGAACTACGAGCAGATTGTGAAGGCACACCAGGACAACCCCCACGAGGGGGAAGATCAGGTTTCTGACCAGGTCAAGTTCAGTGTGTTTCAAGGCATCATGGACTCGCTGTTCCAGTCCTTCAATGCTTCCATCTCCATGGCCAGCTTCCAGGAGCTGTCGGCCTGTGTCTTCAGCTGGATTGAGGAGCACTGTAAGCCTCAGGTATGGGCAGCAGCGGTCACAGGGCCTGGGTCTTCTCCCACCTTTAGGCAAAGTGACCCAAGCCATTTTCGAAAAGCAGCTATATTTTCGGTTTCTTCAGGGTGTTTCTGCAACTTTCAGTACGTTCCCCCTTCTTTGCTTTCTAAAGTTGTTAGAGTGTCATTGATCAAATATGATCTGAGCACTTATGCTTGTAAGGCCAAGCTCTGCCTTGGTTTACTCCATGTTGTCACCTTGGTCACTCGGCTGCCCAGCATGTAAGTTCTATCTCTTGAAGCAGAATTACGTGGGGTTTTTGGAAAGATTTCTAGCCCCAACCCCAGCCCTACTAAGGTAGCTTTTCCTGGAGTTTACTATTTGTAATGGTGTGGTGTGTTAATGGTATTAAACTGAGTCTTTTGCTTTTGAGGCCTAGTTGCTTTTGCTGGAGCTTAAGCTTGTTTCTCACATTCTTGCTTTTTTATTATGAGACACTTGAAACATCAAGAGAATTTACATTGAATATTCATACGTCACCCAGATTTTATTAACATTTTCCGTATTATCACATAGCTGTCACATTGGGGGCATTGCAGAGTGAACTGCAGACATCGGTGTTCCCAGGGGCTTTCTTTTCCCCACGAGCACACCTGGTCAGGTGTCCCAGACGCTCTGCCCTCACCTGGGCATCATCTCTCTTGCTCTGCTGCCCTCAGACCCTACGGGAGATCGTGATTGGCGTCCTGCACCAACTGAAGAACCAGCTTTACTGACCTGCAGAACAGCCAGCGGGAGGTCTCCAGTCTCCTACTTGGTCACAACCACTGGCTTGTGAGATTGGACTGCGACACCGTGCACCAGTCAGCTGGGCTCTCTCTCATGTTTCATTCCCAGGCCCCTCGTCCTCAGGGGACTGGGGTGTTTGTGAAAGCTTCTCATTAATTTATTATATTGACTATAGAGCTCGACGAACCTTGTAATATAAGGTTCCCTCCATAAAAGTCCTCAGAATGGGGGTCTGCTCTGGACACCCCCCCTTTCTGAAGCCTCAGATTTCAGCACATGATCTACATATACTTAGAAACTACTGTTTGCCTGTTTCGGTATGTTGGGTGACTGGTCCACATTTGGCCATTTTGGCAGTAGTTGCTCAGGAGGAAAGCAGGAGAAAATGCCACAAGGCATTCTGTAACTTCCACAGCTACGAAGGGTGAGAGGTGGCTCATGTCCAGGCTAGAGCTGCCTGTCGGCCTAAGGTAGAGCCACGGCTTTCTGGCCGGCTCAGGCTCGGCTGCCCGGGTCCTGCTCCTGCCGCTTACCCCATTGCCTCCTCCCTGCTCGGCAGCAGAGGGAAGCAGCCTCCCACCTACTCCTGCCTCTGACCCCTCAGTCATTGGCGCTGCACAGCAGAGTCAAATGTGACAAAAGTTTTTATTTTTATAAATACCAACAAAACAGTTTTGCTAAAGTTACAATTTTTAAAAATTAGCTGGGCCTCAAACCACCGCAGCTTTCTGTGAGGTGTGTCTGGGGCTCTGCCATCTCTCACGTGCTGCCGACATTTCTCCCAGGACAGAGGTGGTGAAGGCTGAGGTATATGGAAGCCAAGAGAGTCGAGGGTGCAGCCCTGGACTCCTTGAATGCTGTGTATAATAGCCTCTATCTAAGTTCCCCAACCTCTCCCTTCCCCAGATTTAATATCGGGGGGGTTTGATTATCCAGAGGAAATTAAATATTTTTATATCTAATTATATTACAATAAATATTGCCAAATGCTTTAGTTTTGTTCCAAGTCTAAGTGTTAAGCGCAAGCACTTGAAATTACATTCTAGGCCATGTAATGAGTGTACCCACCCACTGTGGGTGACCAGCACTCCTCCTCCCCCTCCTGCTCTAATCCTCTGGTTTATGCCCCTCTCCCAACTGCCCGCTCCAGGGTTGAGATCAGTAACAATAAAAAGCTGGCAGCCAGTCTGGGCCCTGACCCCTAACAGTCCTACCACAGCGGCGCTCAGGGGTCTGGCAGCTTGACATTGTAATCTTCATCGGTCTCTATCCCAACCTCCTCCTGCGGGGCAATGAGGCAGTGAGTGACCTCTGGGTGGAACCCCAGGGGAGCAGGGAGAGAAAGAGAGCCACTTACAAAGAACTGCTTCTTACTCTTAGGGTATCCTTCAAGGATCGCATCACACAGCTCTGTTGCCTGGCAAGAAACAAAAGCCCCCCTTGGTGGATCCCTGACGGGGCAGCAGTTTCTGGGGGGGCTACTTTCCAGGGCCTGCCTTGGAATTCCGCACTTACCATCCTCTTGCGCTTCCTCCACTCCTTGCAGTACTTCTGCTTCTCTCTGTACACCTAAGCAGGGGAACAGGTCTAAGCCCTTAGCCCCACGGCAGGGCAGCCACAGGGTCAACTCTTGTGCTGGCTTCTCTGCACAGGCTGCCCTCCCTCCCAGCTCACCTGTTCTTTCTCTTCCGGGGTCACGTGGTTGGTGGCTGCTTTGATGTTCTTCAGTCTCTCTGTGTAGCCAGCACATTCCTTCTTTAACTCCTGGATCTCTTTCTGCATCTCCGGTGTGGTCAGGGCACTGGACAACTCCTTCAGCTCTGAAACCACATCTCCACGAGATCACTTGCTGTCCCCACGGAGGGTGCTCTTCCAGTGGGTACTCCGAGGTGGTAGGCCAGGCCTCCACTTGCTCTGGGTTTTATACCCAGGGTCCAGGATGGGCCCCTTATTCTAGAAATGTCCAGGGAGCTGTAGCCAGTTAGAGCAGCAGCAATAAAGGGAAGTGTGGGGACAGTTTACTGAGAATCATAGTAGGGAAAGCAGATGCGTGCCCTGCCCATTTGTATTTCAAAAGCCTTTAGCTGTCCTGCATTTCTCTTCATGGAAATGCTATGGCAGCCCAGCAAAGGGATCCTCGCCGCAGTGAGAATGCAGTCAACACCCATTTCCTGAGGAATTCCTGACCTCTGGACAGACCCTGATCTGGCTAGGGGCACCCTCCTGAGCAGCCCATTCCTACCAGCTTCCATTTGGCGGCAGCTCTGCTGCAAGCTCTGCACCTTGGCAGTGAGGGTGACGATTTTGGCATCCAAGCTTTGGAGGTCAGCATCATTCACCGTGTCAAACTGGTCCTGCCAAAGACAAAGGTGGCCTGGTGTGTCACACAGGATGGGAACTCACGTCTCACTGGCAACATTCACACACACTTAAGAACCTTGGGGCGCGGCTACAGTGTTTGCACAGGTTCAAGCCTTGGACCGATGAGAGGGCACAGCCCTCTCGTGGCCACGTGCAAGTCCCAGCTTGGAGGGCAGAGCCCTCCCCGCACAATGATGGCCAACAGCTGTAGGTGTGAGCTTCAACCTGTGTCTGAGCACGTGGCCCCACATGCCTAAGTAATACAGGCTGCAAGCAAACAAAGCTTCATCAGGTGCATGTAATGGAGTAGGATCAAGACCCACGAGAATGTTGTAAGCATCCTGACCAGGCCCTTACATTGCCTCGTGGCATCGGCTATAAAATAAAGACCCGGCTTGTGGGCATTGGCGCTGCTGGGTCCCCATCAGCCACTCACTATTGCCTATGGATGATGCTTTTGCTCTACACTGAGTAGTCGACAGCTGAGTAGCTGTGGCAAGAGGCCACCTGGCCTGCAGAGCATAACAACTGTCTGGCCCTTTACAGAAAAAACAAAAAAAACTTTCATCTTCCTTAGGGGACCTTCAACAGAGTAGTAACAATGAAACCTGTGGGGTGCTAAGTAAAGGAAGATAAATGAGAAACGGGGTCTGTCTGAGGGCAGTTTAGTGGGGAGACAAGTGAAAAGACAATTATACTACAGTATGCCTCAAGAGGCCAGCACCTCAAGAGGCCATGAGCTCTGGCTGCAGTGTTTGAGACCAGGAGATGTTAGGATATTGCAATAGATGAGGAGCATCTGAACTAGAGCAGTGATGGCAAGTGGATTCAGGAAGGGGAAATCAGCTGGACTTGATGGCTGAGAGCCACGTGAGATAAGGGAGGTTAAGAATGAGCCCCTCCTCTCTGGCTTGGGGGAAGACTGATTCCATTACGAAAGAAGAATGTGCCCTAGCTGATATGGCTCAGTGGATAAAGCCTCAGCCTGCGACTGAAAGGTCACAGGTTCGATTCCGGTCAAGGGCACATGCCCAAGTTGCAGACTCGATCCTCAGAAGGGGGCATGCAGAAGGCAGCCAGCCAATCAATGATTCTCATCATTGATCTTTTGGGTTTTGTTTTTTTCTCTCTCTCTGCCTTCTTCCCTGAAATCAAGAAAAGAAAAAAAAAAAAGCCAGTAGGGGAGAGCTGTCGCATCCTACTGTAGCCATAATGATTCTGAAAGACATCCATTTGGAGGTCTGGGCTGGAGATACAAAATTAATGTGTTTAGGAAGGCAGGTGGAGACAGAAGGAAAATAAAGAAGGTGGGTCTAATCTAGATGATTGGGAGTAAGAACTTCCAAGCATAAATGGATCTTGGATTTTCTGTCATCTATCATATTTTATGAAGTTTGGATCATAGCAAGGTTTTAAAGGATGGATGGGGCCCTTTTAATGGCGTAAGACAGCTGAGTTTCATGGATTGCCTCAATTCTCCCAAAGAGAGTTCATACTTCAGGCTGATTCCTCTAAATTAGGCTTGCACGGGGCGGGCGCGGGGGATGAGGGGGGGGGAGCGGCAATTTGCGGGGACTTCCCTCACCTGGTCCGCGAAATAAATCTTCTGCTTGCCGTACATCTTCTCTTTGATCTTGCCTTGTTGGGCCAGCTGCTCCAGCGCCTTCACCACGGCCTGGCAGAGGCGAGAGCGGAGCAATGAGTGGCTTCGGGCCGGGCGGCCGGCCTTAGGAAGCCCAGGGCTAGAATGGCAGCGCCCAGGCGGCAGGACCCCAGGCCGGCGTGAGGGGCGCCCAGGGGGGAATCCCGGGAGGGTCCTCACCGCTTTGCCCAGCCCGTGCTCCCGCTGCAGGTTCCCAAACACATCCTGGGCGCTGTAGGGCCGGTTCTGCTCCTGCAGGTACTTCAGGAGGATCCCGGGGGCTGCGGGGGGAGCAAACACAGGGGAGGGTCACTCAGCCGACCCCTGACCCGCTCCCCTCGGGTCTCCCCGGCTCCCGAGGCCCGCGTACCCCCAGCCGCCGCTTCAGCCCTGCCTTTACTCATGGCCTTTCCCGCCGCCAAACTCCGAAAGCCGGACGTTACAGTTGCTCCGGGCAACGGCTTCTTCCGGCGGCGGGAGGGGCGGGCCTCGTGCGGTGATTGGCAGAAGAGGACGCCTTCTCGCGAGGAGCGGAGCGGCCCTTCCGGGCCCCCTAGGCAATGTCTGCCCGGAGCTGGGCCGCCGCCGCGCCGCCCCGGCCTGGGGGTCTCCGCGGAGGCGGCGGGGGCACACGCTCCCCATCTCCTCTCACTCCCCCTCGGGACGGAAGCCGCAGTAAACCACGCCTTGTTTGTGACCCAGCCCCCACGGCGGGTGAGCAGAGCCGAAGGTTCCAGCGGGAATCCTCAGGGTCAACTCCCACTGGGCCATGGGCTCGCTCAAGGTCACTGCGCCGTTACGGTCAGGGCCACGTCCTGTCCCACGGCCCGAGGCCCTCTGCCGTTAGGCTTACCATTTGTAGAGTAGGAACCAAGGCTACTTGCAGAAGGGCGATCGTAGACTTAGGAAGTGACCTTTGTTTGCTGGTTACCGAGCCCCGCATATAGGGGGCGCTCAGTTCCTGCTGTGGTTTGAACGCCAAGGAAAGACAGGGAGGGCTGCGAGGGGGCTATTCAACCGAAAAGCTTTTGGAAGAGTTTCCTGTTGGCCGAGTCAATTTTATGGCAACACCTGGCAGGTACTTTCCACTCCTGCCCACAGTGGCTAACAGGACAAAGCTTAAAAATAAGTATTTCTAGTTTCTGAGGTCAGGTGAAGGCCAAAAGAGCAGCTGTCCCTGCAGCTCAATCCAGATGGGGGACGTGGTGTTACTTTTTAAAGCCTTCCGTTACCTAAACTCTCATTAGCCTTTGAAATACACTTGACGTCACACGTTTAGGGAGAAATATCAAGGATTGGATGGCCGGGCCAGTGTGGCTCAGTTGGTTGGAGCGTCACTGGGCACCGAAAGGTTGCTGGTTCTGTTCCAATCAGGGCACATAGATTGCGGGTTTGATGTCTGGTGGGAGCCTGTACAGGAGGCAACCAATGTTTCTCTCATACATTGATGTTTTTCTTTCCCTCTCTCTGAAATCAGTAAAAGCATCTTCAGGTGAGGATTAAAAATCAAAAAAGAATTAAAAATGATGGAACTGCAGGCTAGATGGTGATCAGGAGTGTCAGAGCTCATGCCTGGGCTCTCCTGGGGAGGGGACCGTGGCCTCACACCATGTGATTTTCTGACCATCACAGAGGAAGCCCAATAGGCAAATGGGTTCCTCACACCTGGACTTCCTCGTCTGAGGCTCTCGCCCCTCTAATCACACACCAGATTAACAAGAGGCCCATCAAGGGTAGGACACTATTCATTAGTCTCTTAAATATTGTTCTCATAGAAGATTTATTCCCCAGCACCCCTCCTGCCCCTACCCCACCCCAATTCACAGTGGAGGACTAAGGAGATTCAGAGCAGGATCCCCAGGTACAAGAAACACCTTCCAAAGATTTTGCTCTCCTTCCTTCCCTCCTTGCTAACTCCCAAGCCTGGAGCTACACACACTCATGCAAACACACAAAATCCCACTCCCTTCCCACACCTCCCATTTCTTTCCACACCAGAGATCACCTATAAGACATCTGGGCTCTGAGAGGAGATAAGGTGCCCAAAATATCTGAGAACCCCAAGTGGAGAAATGCCGTTACCCCTAACATTCACACAAACAGGCATCCAGTTCTCCCTTCTCACTGGTAATGATTTCCGCATCCTGGCCTCTACCTTTCACCAACCAAGAGCACACGTGTTAGCACACTCCCACCTGCAGCACATGACAATGGGCTCTGTCCAGCATGCCTCTCCCAGGTGCGAGGTGTTGGGGGAGTGGTCCCTGAGGATCAGCAAAGGGTTGATGCAGAGGGAAAGAGGATGGGAGAGTTTGGCTTGAGCTCTGGAGAAGCAGAGAGAGGGTGTAAGCTGACAGGTTTAGAACTAATCAGTTTTTTTGCCGAAACTGGTTTGGCTCAGTGGTAGAGCGTTGGTCTGTGGACTGAAAGGTCCCGGGTTCGATTCCGGTCAAGGGCATGTACCTTGGTTGCGAGCACATCCCCAGTGTGGGGTGTGCAAGAGGCAGCTGATCGATGATTCTCATCGATGTTTCCAACTCTCTATTCCTCTCTTCCTCTCTGTAAAAAATCAATAAAATATATTTAGAAAAAAAAAAAAAGAACTAATCAGTTTTTGTTTCACATGATTTTACTAGGGACAGTCTAACACAGTTTGGTCAGCAAACCGCAGCTCTCAAGCCACATGCGGCTATTTGGCCCCTTGAGTGTGGCTCTTCCACAAAATACCACGTGCGGGGGCGAACCTTCGTGGCCCATGCGCAGAAGTCGGTTTTCGGCCTGGGCGAGTCTATTTTGAAGAAGTGGCTTTAGAACACTCAAGGGGCCAAAGAGCCACATGTGGCTCGTGAGCCGCAGTTTGCCGACCACTGGTCTAACAGATACCCCTTAGAGGGGTCGCTGCTCATTACAGACACATTCTTGCTAATTGGGCTCATCCTTAAATGAGGTCCACCAAGTTGGGAAGCAGTTCCATAGAAAAAGTTTTAAAGGGGCTGAACAGAGGAAGAAGAGCTGGTGAAGGAAGAGCTGGTGGCTTCTGGGATGAATGCCGCTGAGCCATTTGTAAAGTGCTACTCTGGCATCCCCCGTGGAATACTGCTTCTCCAGAGGAGCAGCAAGGGAAGGAACAGGAGCGTGGAAATGGGGATGGTCTGGTATTGCTTTGCTCATTGCTCAGGCTGATGGTCAAATAGAGCCAGGGGTTAGCAGCACCAAAGACTACCAGGCAGCTCCAGCAGCTCCAGTGAGACCATAGACACAGAGGCACTCACCCTGCCAGCCAGCCGACCCCACGGCCCGCGGTAAAGCAGATGAGGCCTGCCTCCACACCACGTTCACATTGCTTACATTTCACAAGCACTGTTGTGGAGCACTGGGGTGAGGCCTCAGAAATGAGGATGGGCGGTGGCAGAGGGAACAGGCCTGCTCTGCAGAACCAAAGGAGAAGCTTGCTTAGAAACAGACAAATCATGGCTTAGCAAAGAGGAGGACAGCGTCACTCCTCCAGCTGCTGCCTGACTTGGGCCTCTAGGGGGGTGATGGAGAAGGAGGGGCTCTTCTACCAAGGAGGACTCCCGAGCACCCATACCTAGAAGCAAACAGCAGCACCCCCTCCAGGGGAACCAATACCCCGGACTACTTTGTTCCCCGAAAGTGCCACCTGACGGGGAGAAGCCGCCCTCAGGAAGCATCCTCTCACGTCAGTGGCTGAGCTCAGAAATGTGTCCAGCTGGCAGCGGAGAAGTGAGTATCCTCTCTCAACAGGCCTCTGAGCATCCGCAAGGCCACCAGGCATACAAGGACAAGACAGGGGATGGGACCTGGGTTCTTCCCTTGCCCCTTCACCTTTAGTGGGATGAGGAGAAAAAAACCCTAAGCCACAGTGACCCCACCCCCCCGAAAAGGAGTCTCTGCTTCAGTGGCTTCTGGAACTGGCAGGGTCCAGCTGACTCAGCTCTGATTGGTCCAGAAGTTCAAAGTCATCCCCCTCAGCATCAGTGTCCAGGTCTGAGCTGGGGGCCTGGAGGATGCCTCTGGTTGCTCTCCGGGGAGGTTGGCCAGAAGGGCCAGGCTGGGAGGCCCCTGACAGGGCCAGCTGGATCATGCCCTGGGAGACCAGGCTGGCAAAGTTGCTGGTGAGGTTGGATCCTGCGGGCAGGGCACCAAGCAGGAGCTCCGGCAGTGTACTCTCGTCACGGCTGGCTGGGGAGGTCTGGGGCTCAGCCCCTGGTGGGGAATGGTACATCAAGCTGGGCATTCCAATGCTGGTATCGTCCTCATCGTCCAGGCCAGCAGGATCCACAATGGAAGGGAAGTCTGGAAGGTCTCTGGCAAAGGATTCCTCTGGATCACTGTGACCATCTAGATCTGAGAGCACAGAAGGGAGTCTGAGACAGAGCAACTACCTGGCCCCACCCCACCAAGTCAGCCCCATGTAACCACATTTTTCCACCCTGGATATCAAAGGGTGAAGCAAAACCCGGTCAGCTTTCCCCCTCTACTTAGACTGCTGAGTCCTCTCCTGGCCAGGGAACCCGCCCCCCTTCTCCCACTGAGCTCCCCATGAGCCCACAACCTGAGGAAATGAAGGAACTGAGGATTCCAAAAAGAGCAGCTATGCCATCCTAGATGTAGCCATACCCCGAAGGCTGCTCTGCCACCTGATCCACTCCTCAGAAAACAGGAGAGGAGAGGGCAGTGTTCCTTCTGTCCAGGGAAGCTGAAAGGTGGTAAGTCAGAACCATTATCAAGTCAGGCGCCTCACCTTCAGAGCCTTCTGTTAGAGGTGTTTGGCCCCGTGAAAGATTGAATGTGCCATTGTCTGTGCAGGAGACCTCAGCATCCGAGTGCTCAGAGTCTGTGATGGCCAGTTCCCTGGCAACAATAGAATCATCCAGCTGAGGAAAAAACAGACAGACAAGCCTGAAGAGCTGATGCCAGCAAGGACAGATGCAATAAATTAAAAATTTTTTAAGTTTTAAAAAAAGAGAGAGAGAGAGAGAGAGAGAACAGATGCAGAGATGCAGTTGCCCAGTAACAGCTTCACTAATTACTGGCCCTGAAGACTACCCTAAGGCCAGATACCAGGTGTGGATGGGGACTTCTGTCAAAATCTTGACCATTTTTAAGCTGCTCCCCAAGGAAAACACCCTTATTCATCCATCCAGAGCACAGGAAGGAAAGAAGTCTTAGGAGTCAACCAGCCACTTACTCTTAAGCAATCTGATCCAGAAAACACTTTTCACAGGTGATCTGGAGGAATCACACACTGCCCAACCCAAGATGAGCAGGGCTCTTTAAAAGATGATCACACCAGTTCCAGAAGTTCTGCCATGATGGTAGGGGTTAAAGGGAGACATGAAAGAGGGGGTGCTGGTCACCAGGCTCAAACTGAGATCTATTTACAAAGTCACAAACTAGCACTAGCTTCTCTCCTCACAGGAGGGCAGTTATGCTCATGTCTGGGCTCTCACAAGGGTGAGGAGGGAGTGCCTGAGCCTGTGAGCTCACTGCCTACATGTAGGTGCCAGATGGTTAAAAGGGAGCTAAAGAAGACTGGCCAGCCCTGGCTCAGTTGGCTGGGCATCAGCCCATGTACTGGAAGGCTGGTGGTTCGATTCCTGGTCGGGGGCAAAGGCCTCAGTTGCCATTGAGGGCTTGCTCCCCAGTAGAGGGTGTGCAGGAAGCAGCCGATCAATGGTTCTTATCATGATGTTTCTATCTTTCCTTCTCCCTTCCTCTGTAAAATCAATTAAAAATATATAAACAAATAAGTAATAAAAAAAATTATTTTTTTTATTTTTTATTTTATTTTATTGATTTTCCACAGAGAGGGAGGGAGAGG